AGGCTTTCTGGTGGAGGGTTTATAGGGATGTAAGATGTAAGATCATTAGTAGGGTCCGGGGTTTAAGGACATTTCGGTCCAAGGTTCAGGGTTTAGGCGTTTGGGTTTACATAGGGAATTGAGTCTAGGGGTTAGGCTTTAGGGTTCATAGTACAGCCCTATTAGCGGGGCAGGTTCAATGCCCCCAAAGCTTCTTGGTTAATGAAGATGCTCTGGTAAGACTTCCCTTTAAGGCTAAGGTTTTAGGGTTTCAGGGTTTAGGGTTTATGGCTTAGGTTTTATACCAAGAAACAGCTTCCCTAGTGTCTTGGGTGCAGGAGGGTTGCAACAGCAACTGATCTAAAGGGTTCAGTCGATTCCCATGGTTCAAGCTCCTAGACCCTAAATCCTACGCCCTAAACCCTAAAACCCTAAAGCCCTAAACCCCAAAACCCTAAAACCCTAAACCCTAAACCCGAAACCGTCAACCCTAAACCCTAAATCCTAAGCCCTAAACCCTAACCCCTAAATCCTAAGCCCTAGACCCGAAACCGTCAACCCTAAACCCTAAATCCTAAACCCTAAACCCTAAACCCGAAACCGTCAACCCTAAACCCTAAACCTGGGTTGCAGGGCAGAGTCGGGTCGAGGGTTTCAAAGGGCTTTTGGGGTTCAGAGGTGATGGGAGATACCATTTGAAGCCTAAGTAAAGTAATTACCAGTAGTGTTCCCTAAGGTTGTGTTTAGGGTTTAGGGTTTAAGGTTTAGGGTTTAGGGTTTAGGGAAGCCTAAGCATAATTACCAGAAGTGTTCCCTAGGGTTGCTTATTATTACTATAGTATAAAGTAAGTCATTACCAGTAGTGTTCCCTAGTGCTTAATACTCTAGTATAAAGGAGACCAAAACCCCATTCTAATTTAGGGTTCAGGGTTTAGGGTTTAGGGTTTTGGGTTTAGGGTTTAGGGTTTAGGGTTTAGGGCCCCGATTAGGGGGTTTTGCATTAGAACAGCGCGCAGTTCTTTGCTGCGGTGTCTCATTTCTATGTATTCGGACATCTTTGTTGGAGCCCTGCAGCCTCACCCCGGAAGCCTCAAAGCCGCCGAAATTCGCAGGAGGAGCGCCGGCAATTCCAGAAGTTGCAAGAGGCACGCTCTGAACACTCAAGTTGCCAAAAGGGTTCTGAGTTCTTCTTGCAGAGACTATAGGGTTTTCTACACAGGTTCTATCGCAGAGGGATTAGCAGCCTGTACGACCATCAGCATTGCTCTTAGCTCTCTTGATTTTCAAGAGCGCCCTGATTGTGAAGAGGAAAATCGAGCCTGCTTGAAGCTAGCACAAATCCTGCCTTACCAGATCCACAACAGTCTCCTAGGAGGATATCTCGTCTTCGAGCTGGCAAAGATGGTTTCCGCCTCGAATAGCATCCCTTCACAGATCCTCTACCCTCAACCCTAAACCCTGTAAACTCCAAACCCTATAAACCCTAAACCCTATAAACCCTAAACCCTAAACCCTATAAACCCTCAGCCCTAAACCCTATAATCCTAAGCCCTAAACCCTATAAGCCTTGCAAGGATCCTTTAGAGGAGCTTTGAAAGGAACCCGTACACCCTAAACCCCTAAACCCGTCAACCTTAAGCCGTAAACCCCTAAACCCCTGAACCCTAAGCCCTAAATTCTAAACCATGAAAAAAGATCTAAACCCTAAAACTCCAAACCCTCTAGATCCCTAAACTCTAAACTCTAAATCCCTAAACCCTGAAACACCTAAACTCTAAACTCTAAACCCTAAAGCTCCAAACCTCAAACTCTAAACTCTAAATCCCTAAACCCTTAAACACCTAAACTCTAAACCCTAAAGCTCCAAACCTCAAACTCTAAACTCTAAATCCCTAAACCCGTACACCCGATCCCCTAAACCATAAGCAAAGCCCTAAACCCTAAAACCTTAAACCCTCATATCTACATCCCTAAACCCCCAACCCATTAAGCCTTAGGTAAGGCCCCTGCATTACCTCGAAGACCGCCTTGCAGACGCATTCGCGGTGCGCGGACAACCAGCGAGAGCTCGCTCAGCTGCGCGAGGTTTCAAAAGGGGGGCTTAAAAGGGACGTCAAGGGTTTAGGGGTTTAGGGACTTCAAGGGTTTAGGGATTTAGGATTTAGGGTTTAGGGTTTAGGGGTTTAGGGATTTAGGGTTTAAGGTTTAGGGTTTAGCGTTTAGGGGGCTTCAATGGGGGTCTTTACGGGGACTTTAAGGGTCCTTCTGTGTGGAAGAGATTTCGGCTTTGAGGGGTCTGAGGGTTTAGGGTTTAGGGATTTAGGGTTTAGGGTTTAGGGTTTAGGGTTTAGGGTTTAGGGTTGAGGGTTTAGGGTGTAGGGATTTAGGGTTTAGGGTTCATGAAATGGTTTGAAATTTAGGGTGTTGGGTTTGAGGATTTGGGGTTTGGGGGTTTATAGGGCTTGTAGCGTTTAGAGGGTTTAGGATTTAGGGGTTTAGGGTTAAGGGCTTTGAGAAGAAGGCCCTTTAGCCCTAAACCCTAAACCCTAAACCCTAAACCCTAAACCCTAAACCCTAAACCCTAAACCCTTGAAGAACCTTTTTTTTTTTGTGAGGGTTTTTCTGAGGGCCACAGGTTCAGGCTTAGGTTTTTTGATGTGTAGCAGGGGGTTTAGACCAGTTTATGGGAGTGGGTTTGGGGCTTCGGGTTCCGACGGTTTAGGGTTTAGGGTTTAGGTTTAGGGTTTAGGGTTTAGGGTTTAGGGTGTAGGGTTTAGGGTTTAGGGGACAGTTCCAGGGCTTGGGCTCGTTGGGGGGTGTTGAACCCTAAACCCTAAACCCTAAACCCTAAACCCCCAAACCCAAACTCCTTGAACCCCAAACCCAAAACCCTATAAGCCCTGAACCCCGAAGCCCTAAACCCTGAACTCTAAACCGATCTAGATCTTTGAGGCAGGCCCTGACTAGAAGCCTGGAAGCTGAGTCTAGTTCTCTGGAGGTGTTTATACTGGTCTCCGGAATCATATTGTTGATGTTATAAATTCCTTCAGTACCTTAGATAAGGAATGCAGGATTTATATCATCAACCGTATTTGGGAACCTCAGAAATATTCAGGCCCAAACCCAAGGTCACAATCAGGCTCGAACCCTAAACCCTCCTTACCCTAAAACCCTAAAACCTAAACCCTCCTTACCCTAAAACCCTAAACCCTCCTTACACTGAAACCCTACACCCTAGATCCTCCTTACCCTGAAACCCTAAACCCTCCTTGACATGAAAACCTAAACCCACCGTGCCCTAAAACCGCAGATGCTCGACTCCGAAACCTATTCGATCCCTGCAAACAACTTTGCAATGGTCAAGGAGGACCACCAAATACGATGCTCGAGCATCATCTGGTCTGGCAGCCTAAACCCCAAACCCTCAACCCTATATTACTATAAACCTTAAACCCTAAACCCTACAAACCCTCGGCATCAAAAACACTCCACCCTAAAACTTCTTTCCCTAAACCCTAAACCTTAAAACCCTAAACCCTATAAACCCTCAACCCAAAAACACTGAACCCTAAACCCTACACCCTTAACACCAAAAAGCCCCATATTGCTATAAACCTTAAACTCCAAACCCTCAACACCTTAAACCCCATACTAGTATAAACCCTAAACCCCTTAAACCCTCAACACCAAAAACTCGGAGCCCTAAAACTTCTTCACCGTGCCAGGCTGCAGTGCAGGCGGCAGCCGATAGGGAGGAGATGGAGAGGCTGCGCGAGGCCAGGCCAGTGTAGCGTTTGTTTCGTGATGATTCGGGTTTAGGAGTTTAGGGTATAGGGTATTAGGGTTTAGGGTTTATAGGGTTTAGGATCTGGTTATTGCCTCTATGTACATCTTCACTGAAGATGTGCGCACATAAGAAAGAGTCTGAACGATGGAACTGAATCAGTTTCTTCTTTCAGCCTCTTTGTTCTTTGTCTTTGAATAGACGATGAAAGAGCGCCTGTTTATCAACCCTCAACCCTAAACCCTAAACCCTAAACCCTAAACCCTAAACCCTAAACCCTAAACCCTAACCTTAACCCTAAACGTTGCGACCTTATGAACCCGAGCCCTTACCCCTACTGTAAACTACCAAATGCCATAAATGGCCATAAACGGTTTAGGGTTTAGGGTTTAGGGTTTAGGGTTTAGGGTTTAGGGTTTAGGGTTTAGGGTTTAGGGATAAGCCCAAAACCATAGCCCCCTTACGACCCCGAACCCTAAGCCATAAGCACCCTTAGCCCCAAAGGCCCTAACTTACCGCAAAGCCCCAAACAAACCCAAAACCCTAACCCTGAAACCCTAAACCCTAAAACCTAAACCCTGAAACCCTAAACCCATGGTAGGAAAATCGGGCATCAAAGCAGCGCGCAGCGGCTTTGGAGGCCTGGTTTGGGTTTTCCTCGGTTGCAGGGGTTTGGGGTTTAGGGTTCAGGGTTTGGGGTTTAGGGTTTTTTGTTTAGGGTTTAGGGTTTAGGGGTTTGGGTTACTGCTCTACTACTGCTGGTAATGCAAGTAGTACTAGCATTACGAGTTCTAGCAGCTCTTCGCATACTATGATTGCTAGTACTTCCAGGACCACGGGCAGTACTAGTACGAAGTCTTGCTATTTCCAGCCGTTAGAACAACGAGTCATGGCCATAGCATGCCATAGCAAACATACTCACCGCATCGATAACCTCCGCAACGACAAACATCGAATCAGCGAAGTGAACGGTAATAGTGAGAAGCCTTGTCATGAGCCCGGGCGTGACCGTTAATATATCACCATCACTGCATTGAGCTTATTATGAATCCCACCAATGCCAACACTGGCTGACAACCCCAAAGCCCCAAAGTCTTAAGCCCAAAAGCCCCAAAACCTAAACCCTAAACCCTAAACCCTAAACCCTAAACCCTAAACCGTGGCAAGCATAAAGAACCCATAGAGCCCCTTGTAGAGCCCGTCCAAGATCTTGCAAGCCGATGCCCCCTGAGAAGAGGCGGAAAAGGCGCGCTACGAGGAGACCTTGGCACGCCAGAAAGAGGCCATGAAGGCGCCCGGAAATGGGAGTTTCAGAAAATTAGGGTACCTTATTTTTGGGTCCTGATAATAGGGATCCTATTATTTAGGGTACTATATTAGGGTCCCCTATTTTCGGAACCCCCCAAATGCTGGCCCGTATATCTTTCAGGGTTCCCGCACAGTTTAGGGGTTAGGGTTTAGGGTTTAGGGTTCAGGGTTTAGGGTTTAGGGTTTCAGGGTTCCAGCACAGGGGTGTTATGAGGTGTTCTGTAAGTAGGTTTGTCGGGCTCTTCAATAGGGGGTTCTGTTTTATTTTGGGCCTGGTATTGATTCTGAGAGACAAAGGGTTTGTCAGGGTTTATGTAGGGCTTTTATGGAATCCGTCAAAGAACCTAAACCCTAAACCCCTGTAAAGCCTCGACTGGAGCTGTCAATCTCGTTGCCAGGAGATGCAGACAAAGCTGCAGGAGATGATGCAGCACAGTAAGGACAGAGATCGACAACCCCTAATTCCGGTTTAGGGTCAGGCCCCTTGCCAAAACCTTGCAGAACCTGTCGAACCCTTGAAAAGTTTAGGGTTATAGGGCTTAAACCCTAAACCCTAAACCCTAAGCCCTAAACCCAAACCCTTTAAGGGCTCGACGGGTTCTGCAAGGTTTTGGGCAAGGGATCTGACAGGGATTCCGCACGGGTTTTTATGAGCGAGGCATGGGTCGGCTTCATGAATCTAATAGAGGCTTTTCTAGGAGGGTTTCTGGGGTTTAGGGTTTAGGGTTTAGGGTTGAATTAATGGAGATTTTCTAGGGTTTATGTAGGGATACAAGGGCTTCTGAGGGTTTTGCAAGGATGATTGCCAAAAGGGTCTTACCGGGTGTTACGAAGTATGTGGAAACCCTAAACCCTGAACCTGCCCGGTCTGGGTGAACACGACTCTGCAGAGAGAAAAATCCGTCACAGTTTCCTGAAAATCAAGACACAACCCAAAACCTTAAAGCATGGCCGAAACGAAGAGACTCTTGATTTCTGAACCTGAACCCCTGAACCCTTTAGGGTTTAGGGCTTAGGGTTTTTGGTTACCGTAACTCACCGGAAACAGTTCCCCGAACCGAAATATACATAGCCGCTGTCTGTAAGCCGGAGTGAACGAACGGTAGAACCTCATGGTGCCCTGGAAGGAACCCCTATAGCATCCGAGCCTTCAAGGAAACCGAAAGCCTACACCCGAAGCCCTAAACCCTAAACTCTAATCCCTAAACCCTAACATCTAGACTCTAAACCCTAAACCCTAAACCCTAAGCCCTAAACTAAAAAACCCTAAACCCTTAGCCCTTAAAGGAACCTCTTATCGTACCCCCAAAAGAAGGATCGGAAGCCTTAGCCTCAGGACTCAGGCGCGGAGGCCGTGGTGCAGAAGCTCATGAAGAAGGACTGGGGTTGGGGTTGAGGGTTTAGGGTCTAGGGTTTAGGGTTTAGGGTTTAGGGTTTAGGGTTCAGTGTTTAGGGTTTAGGGATTAGGGTTTAGGGATTAGGGTTTAGGGTTTAGGGTTTAGGGTTGAGGGTTTAGGGTTTAGGGTTTTGGGGCTTATAGGGTTTAGGTTTATCAGGCTTTTGGTCTTGCGGTTGCTTGCCGGCAGGGAGTTTGGGGCTGAGTTTTTTTAGGGTTTGCTTTTCCGGGATCAGGGGGGTTTTGTTTTTGTTGTGGGGGCTCTGTGCCCTACACCCCAAACCCTAAACCCTAAAGCATGTGATAGAAGCTTCATCTCATGCATCGTCCCCGCGGAGAGTCGAAGCACCGCAGTGGACAAGGGGTTTTGGGGTTTCGGGTTCAGGGGTGTGGGATTTGGGGTTAAGGGTTACACTGTTACTCCCTATCCCGGCCCTTTCGATTCCTGTGAAGCCCTTAAGGCAAGTCTAAATCGTACTCCCTTACTAGGCCCTAACCCCTAAGCCTTGAAAAGCATCCCTCAGGCACCGACCCTAAACCCCCAACCCTAAACCCTAAACCCCTAAACCCTAAACCCTAAACCCCTAAACCCTCAACCCCTAAGCCCTAAACCCTAAACCCTAAACCCCTAAACCCCTCCACCTTAAGCCCTAGACAGCCTCAGGCTGGTATCTCGGACGAGGTCGTGATCTCCACGGAGCAGGTGCCCTGCTGCGAGGGGGTCGTTGGCTCGTGGGGTCTTTAGGCTTAGGGTTCAGGGTTTCAGGGTT